TTCGGGCGACAGATATGTAACAACAGCAGCACCTTCGCTAGCATTCAAATAGTAAATTAAGTCCAATGTATTTTCGTCGCATATGGCTTCATCGCCCAGCACAGTGTAGTTGCCGTGCGACCAACGTTGAACTTGTAAATTGTACGTTGGGCTAGTTGCATTTGGCCCAGCCAAGTCCAGATCTGTATAGTCACGCAATAAGGCAAACATTTCTGCGCTTGCAAAAAGTTCAATTAAGCGTGATATCGTTTTGCTTGCTGTATTGATGTCGAGTACTTCATAATTGTGTGCATTCGCCGGTCCTTCCAGTCGCCATTTTAACGTATCGTCTTTGAGTAGTTGTTCCATGGCCTGTTCAAAAGTTTCACGCCTTAAAAATTCATATAAACAAATTTCGGAGTTATCTTCTATGCGTTTTTGAATACTTTTTTTGGTTTGTGGTTTTAAGTACACCTCATTTAACAATTCATATATATCGATTGCTACGTTATTTGCTGGAGAAATAAAATCTAGTTTAGAGAATGGACGCATTATATCAGCAATCATGTCATTGTTAGACGCTCCATGAAACCAACCATTTATGGTTAGACGTGGGTAGTCGTAAGAAGTGACTTCACCGACTTGATGAAATGAACGGGAGCCCACTTTGAAAAAGGCAAATTGGTTATTTTTTGGTGATATTTTTCGCTTTACAGGAAATAGAGGAAAGCAGTTTTCATCACTACCGAATAGCTCGAGACAACCTCCTTGCTCTTCACGCCAATTTTCTACACTCTCCCACGGGGATAAGTAATAAATGAATGCAATCTGCCTATCTTTTAATAAGTCGTCATGCACCAGCAAGTAGTCTCCGCAGGTATACATAGAACAGGACGCTGATACATAATCCAACTTAAGGCCTGTTAATGCCTCCAGCCAAGGCCGCACTGTTCGCCGTAGCATTTGCAGAAAACTAGTAAGTAATTTACATTCGGCCATGTTTGATAAATCAGTACTTTGGTAAAATTCGTACAAATCCATTTGCTTCCGAGACCATTGTACCTTCTGTACCATCTCATCAACAAGTTGTCGGCAGGTCCTTTTGTTTTGCAGCAGATCTGGTAGCAGACACACCTGAAATGGATCTCTAAACACCTTTACTGATGTGGATAAATCATGATAGTCTTCCTTATCTTGAGCACTCCACTGTGCTTTCAATTGCTCTGCAAACGATGGTGATGTATATGAGTGATTCAGCGTTAAGTCCGCTGTGGTTTTAACATTCAAACTGAGCTTTGGTAATTTGCTACGGGGTTCATCGTCTACGATTCCAATATTAAAACCACCATTATTAGTTTCAGCAACTGCAAAAGCAATACAATGAATTTTATTGTATTAACCAGTAAAATGTAAAACGCATACCTTATCAAGTACAAATGTTTGTTAAAAATAAACTTTTATTTTCAAAGGACTGTTGTTTAGAGAATGTCTCCTTATTAAGGGCACTGAAAACACTTGGAAGCAGTTAAGCAGTGTGAAATATTTTGTGTTGATGCAATAATATTTCCAATTATTTTCGCAGAGGTGCCCATTGTTTGTTAGGCGACAGCCTCGCCCTGCACANAAGGGCACTGAAAACACTTGGAAGCAGTTAAGCAGTGTGAAATATTTTGTTTTGATGCAATAATATTTCCAATTATTTTCGCAGAGGGGCCCATTGTTGTTAGGCGACAGCCTCGCCCTGCACTTGGGCTGAGACAGACTAAATAAAAACATATTTTCGAGCTTACCTTCACCATCAGCAATGTCCTCATTTGTGCTTATAGCCTTTGACCTTTCCATGTTTCGTTTTTCTGTTAGTTTCCTTATTTTCAATAAATTATGGACCAAATAAAGCCGATTTTCTTTTCTTCAATAACGTGTGAAAATATTTTTTCGCACCTGACGGCAAAAAGCCGTGTGTCAGACCCAAGACAGAGTGGGAATGTCGAAAAAACATCGATGCATCGAAAATATCGATGTTTTGCTTCGATGTATCGATGTTTTTTAAAAACTGACATTGCCGGTACATTGAACCGTCATTCCAGTTTTTCAATTGTTCAAAAAAGAGAAGTGACTTTGTCCAAAAAATTTAAATGGCTGCAAAAAAATTAGCATTGGACCATAGATTACAGACTACACCACCTTGTATAAATTCGTCTTGCCATACTCGGTTCCCTGACTATTGAGGGGAGAGGGGACAAAAAAGAGAGTAAATAAGGTCCTCTCTCTTTCAGAAGCTACCAGTTTTAGTCCAAAGATTTTATGCTGGTAAATCCTGGTAAATGTATCGAACGATCAGCTGTAGTGGGTTTGGCAGCCAAATTGTAAATAAAAGAAAAGTGCACTCTGCTAATTCACGTTGAAAAGTACTTAGTTACTTATTTAAGGGGATTCTAATGCATTTGGAAGTTATTTTGATTATTTACATTGTGAGCTGATTGTGTTTAGGGATGCAAACGATGCATCGATATTTCTGAAACATCGATAACATCGGCCAAAAAACCGATGTTTACCATCGATATTTGCAAATTACTCAACATCGTAAAATTGGCGATATATCGATGTCAATTTTAACGATGTTTTAAACATCGACTTTAGTTTCGGTTCAAAATTACCATTGCGTTCACATCTTTATGTTATATTCTTTGGGCTCTGTCACACGGTCAGTATTTATTGACGTGATCCAAGTATCGCGATATTTTTTGACGGTGTAGTATGCAGTATTGATGGATCGTGATCCATATCGCAAAATTTCTAAAAATTTTTAAATCTGGATCGCGGATCGCAATACCGTCAATAAATATTGAACGTGTAGTACTTTCAAAACGCGATCCATACATTTCTTTAGTACATCTTTTAATCTCATAATGTAAACATCGGCTCTGCCTTCACTCTCGGGGCTTAAAATCTTTCAAAACAAATTGAACAAATCTTAAAATAATTGTCATAAATAATAAATGCATTATCTGTACATTATACGTACAAAATAAAAATATTTGCTTGCGTCATAATAAGCGTCCAGCAAAAAAAATATGCAAAT